TCTAATGTTATAGTAGGTCGAGTAGGTTATGAACAGTTCTTTAGGTTATATACACTATAAAAATATTTTTTCAAATCAAAATTAATTACCCTTTTTCCTCCCATGCACAGAAAAAGAGCATATGTATCTACAAATGGGTAACTGATTATCAATTTGAAATTTAAATCGTTCTTTGCATTTTTAATACATATATTATTTATAGTACATTCAAGAATTTTTAGTATACCAGAAGTATTAGAACAGATTTTATATTTCTTATTAATAAATAAATCTCTCTATCCTGCTCTATATGTTTCCCAATTGTGGTATAGATACAGTGCTCCTATTCTATAGAAACGAGTTGAGCTAAATAAGAGTAATATATGAAAAATTTTTATGGTAATAATATGAGAGCGGAAGCCAGTTTATTGCTTAAATGTAACTTATTTAAAAATTCCATATTACTACCATCTTTTAGATAAAAAATTCAAAATTATTGCGGGTTTGCTCCCAAATAGAGTTTATTTAGATTTCACTTTTAGTAAGAGATTTAGTAATAAAACATTAAACCAAATAGCAAAATCATATTCCTATCTGAAATATCTCAACTTGGTAGGTATAGTAATGGATTAATAACTGATAAAGGTTTATACGCAATCACAAATTCATGTTACAAATTAGAATATCTGAATATCTCTTACTGCAAAGAGATTTCTGAAATAGCGATTTGGAATGTTATTTATTCTTGTCCAAAGCTCCAAGAGTTTGGTATTCTGAATATAAAATTTTCTATACAACTATCAAGAAAATTGAACTATATCTTAAAATAAAATATATTAATCCAGATATCACCAGCAGATATTTGAAAAGAATTGGTCAGGTCAGATTCGTTAATTTGAGTTTTACTAATATATAGATTATTACGAAAAAAAAATTATAGCTTTGGAGTTGTGATCCAGGCTATATTAATCGGGTATTGTGTTTTATTTTTATTTTTTAATATAATTTTTGAATGGTGATGGAGGAATCAAGAGTCCTTCTTCTTCCCAGTGCATATATCCAATATATATCAATTTATTATATGTTGGTCTATTGATTGTAATCATGTGATTTGTTTTGGGGTTATAGATTTTTGGCTTTCTCCAACGATTAGTCAATTTTGATAATTGCTTAGCAGTAGAGATGTAAGAGCTAAAGCTTATGCTTTAGCCCTATCAGCAAAAAATGCCAATGCTGGTTCATCACGTCTTTCCTGACTCTGAAGAGAATTAAAAAGCCTTGGTGCTTCATTCCAAATAATTGAGATGACAAAATTTTCAGATATTACAGAAGATACTAACAAAATTCAAAGGAACAATCAGAAAAAAGCTGAAGCTAATTGTATTGACTATCCAGATGAATTTACATTAGAATCAGTCAAAGAAAGGTTAGATGCATATGATTTAAAAACTCTGCCCAATTACTGGGCTCTTGATTATGTCATGGTGATGCTTTGTATTCATCCTGCTAAACTTACAACTTTACATATTACAAATGCTAGAGTAACATGATATGCAAAAAATCAGGATCAACTAGATATTCTTAGAAAATTTAGATCTATGGAAAAGAATCAAGAACGAGCCAAAGAACTACTCACTTAGATTCAGCATGCTATATCATCTGGACGAATGGGTGATTAAGATAAGCCAGGGTTAAATAGTTTAATAAATTCTTAAAAGATTATGATTTAATTCCCAAATACTTACGAAAAATGGGTGCTGTTTATAGTGTGGTAGTATATGAGGCTAAGAATAAGGCCCATGCTTATACAATTGCTGGAAAATGTCTATGTCATTCATCTGATATCCATACTTCTCCTGTACAAAATTACATTGTAGTCGATTATAGAAAAAGAGGAGTTCCTTATAAGCAAGCAAGACGATTTTATATCTATGATCAAGATTAATTGCGCTTCTTCACTTTTACTATATCTACAGTAAAATCTTCATAATCATAAAAGAATTTAGAGTCAGACCCAGATGAAGGTGAGGATGAGGATAAAGATGTTGTATCATTTAAAAATCTCTTTTTTCTTTTAGCCTTAGATGGTGTACGATTTCTTTAAGAAATATCTAAATTTGCTATTAAGTCAATAATCTTTAGCCCAATCTCGGGTTTTACTATTTCCATTAATTGGTAAAGAGAAATTGAAATTCTTCTATGTGATATCTGTTTAACAATTCCAGATATCACTTTATCAGTAATATGTGTCTTGGCACTAGCTTCCTATTAGGTAAACTTTTATCTTTTTTGAAACCTAATTTTTTCACAACCTCATAAGTGATAATTGAACATTCTGAACCCAAATCACAAACTACTTCTGTATCCCTATAATTGATCAATATTGATAATTTTTTCACTGATTCTATTAGCGATATGATTTCATTATTATTCTCTTGTAAATTCTGATGAGCCGGTCCAATATTGCTATTAGCTTCAGTCATTATAAATATGAAATTATTATTTATTAATACGAATTTAAAAATGCAGAATTAAATATATTGTTATAATAAAACATCATAATGAGAATTTCATCTTGTGAAATTAACAAAGTACCAGTTAAAACTATACTAGATACCACTAGCAATTGTAATCTTATAGGCAGGGGTTTAGTAGATGTACTAGGCTTAGAGATTGATACTTCCCATAAAAAAAAAACAAAATATTAATTCCTTTTCCATCTAAAAAATCGCTGAATAATTTAGATGCAATAGCATCCTCACATTGTATGACTATAAAAAATAGCATAACAATATTAGGAATAGTTCATAAAATAAACCCCTCTTTCTGGTCTAAAGATAATAAATAGAAACAGGTAGAAGTTAATGATATTTTAGTTTCTAATAAACCTGAATTTGCATATGTACTGCTATTAGGTTCACCATGGATCCAGACAAATATCTCGGAAATGAATTTTCCCAATTATACTCTCACATTGCTTGATAGAACTGATGTATTATTGGATATTTCATGAGAGCTCCCGCCACCAAAACAAATATCCATACCAGTAAAAGAATATTATAAAATAGTGAAATATTACATAACAGCATTGGGTGTAAATAATAATGAAATATACCTTAAGGAACACTTTCTCTGTGGATTGTCTCATGATAACCAGTTAGAAGCCAGAAGATGTGAAATAAATATGTCATTAGATGAGCTGGTTGCAAAGTTAAGCATGGTTAAGAATATCAGAAAAATAAATGATATATGCATCTAGATTAATTATCCGAACATTGGCTGTTTTTTTCTGATTAAAGATATATAATATACAATTTAAGAATAGCACAACTAAATATTTTTGATTTACCGGAGTTACTAGAACAGATTTTATATTTTTTAAAAATTGATCAATCCCTCTATCCTGCTTTATTTGTTAACCACTTTTGGTATTACTGCGGTACTCCAATTCTATGGTGTCGCATTGAGTTTTTTATTGTAAAAAAAATATATTTGGACCTCTTTATTGGCAATTGATAAAGTTTAAAAGAGTTATGTGTGGAAAGACAAACCTCTTTATTATTCAATAATAGTATATCTCAGATTAGAAGGTTTAAAAATCTCAGATGCATTGATTAGTACAATTTTATGCTCGTGTCCAGACATACGCACTCTTATTCTTGATAAAAGTAAGGGTTTCACTAATATACCAATTATAGAAATTGCAAGATTTTCTCCAAAACTACAACATCTGAGTCTTAATTTATGTAAATGTCTTACTAATCAATATATCACTGAAATTGTTTACTCATGCCAAAAACTTAAACATCTTGAGCTTGGTGATTGCTTGATTAGTAGTAAAGCTGTCAAGGAAATAGCCCGCAATTGTACTAATTTGAAATATCTTAGTTTGGAGGGGTGTAAAGAGATTAGCAAAGAAGTGATAAAAAAACTTAATCCTAAAATTAAAATAGAATACCCCAATTATTCAGATAAAAAATGGTCTGATTCTGATCTACCTATTCCAATGTTTACTGGTACATTATTGGATGAAACAGATTTTATTTCTGCGCTCAGTAATTGTATCAGAGAGATTAGCAGGATTAATCTTAATCATTTATAGTTTACAAATAATTTTACTTAATGTTGAAGAATAGAGCATGTGATCGGGTATTTGACAGTCTCCAGCTAATTTCAAACAAAGAATTTTAATTTGTTGTGATGTATATATATCCATGATAATTTTCCTTGTTTTACTTTTGATTCTAGACACAGGCACTGATTAACGCTAGCTGATTTTTTGCCAAAAATTTTATGCAATTGTTGAGGAGAGACATTTGGAAATAATAGCAGTCCTCACCAGTAAGCCAAAATTTTTTTACCCCTATGTCAGCAAATTTCTTTATTAACACACCTAGATCATCTTCTAATGGACCGTGAAATTTCTCAAACTTTCGGAGATACGCTCTTGTATTTTCATCAGCTTCTTCTGCCCTTTCTTGATTAGAATAACCAACAATACTGATTTTTTCCTGAATTGTCACTATATCATCTTCTAAGCATAAAAGCAAATCAAATAATCTAATTGGTTTATCTGATGAGGTTTTATCCCTTCTAAGTTTCGCTTCTAAAATGTGATTGATATCTATACCAAGTTTCCCCTGTATAGGTATTAACTCCCTCACCAATTCTAACAACAATTTATATGAATCGGCAAGTTTTTTCACTTTCTTGCTCTCTGACACTGCCATTTGATTTATATTACTGTTAATACCAAGTTTTTTCTAAATAGCTATTATATCTTTTTTCTTATATAAAAGCACCTCATATAATTGAGGAAATTTTTCACTTGGATTAGTATTATTATTAGTATTACTCATCATGATTGTTATAATATGGTAATATAATTAATGCGCATAAATATATAAATTAAGTGAATAAGCAAATTCAATCTAAAAATAATTAAAACCACATCATAACTTCAAAATCACATGATGTTATAAGGCAAAGCACATAATTCAAGAAATCGTCTAAAGGCTTGCAAAGCAATAATGCGCCCCAGTGGAGCGATGTCATGTGTTTTATTTCAAAGAAATGGCTCTTCGGTGTGAGTTGGTTAAATGTCGATCCTAAATCGGTAAGTTATATATTTACAACAATCAACCAATCAAGATGAGGCAACTGATAATGCGTCGTTCTATATCTGGAATTGTTGCATAATCTATTTCAGGTGTGAAATCTATTTTGGGATGTATAATTGCGGAGCAATGACCCAAAGGGTCTACAAGCATATGATTTAATTTTCCGGTGTGACTATATAAGGATGTACGACTAGTCTCTTGATCATGTGTCTGATAAATAATGAAAAAGCGATATCTTTATTGAGATAAATATAAAATATAACGAAGTCTAGTTATCATATCGTGGAGTGGAAACTGTGGTACTATCTTCTCTCTGTCTTTCTGATATAATTACTGATGCGTGATATAACAAAGATAAGTTAGTAATTATCATATTTTGTAAAATCAACAAAGTTTCTATAAATTTAGATATGACTTTATCATCTGATAATTGTACAGGAATTTCAGCAGATTGAGGATGATAATATCTAGGTATATTGACTTTATCCCGAACAAGAGCATTCAAGTGTAATATATTTCCCGCTACTTGTATCCCTACAATACCAAACTGCTCTTTAGCGGGGTTGAGACTCTGACGTACGCAACAAATACAATCATTTGCCTCCCGCCACAATTTTATCTCATCATCTGTCTTTTTTTGTGGCATACAGAATAAGCGGGAACATTCAATATACATAAGTTCAAAGATCGTTTCGAGATAATTTCCCAGGAACATAATATCCGGGCATCTTCCCTTTTTTCCTTCTTTTCTATTCGCACTAGCAATGCTTTGCTTTTCTGATGTACTAACAAAAAATGGGTTTTCAGTAGGAAGATTTTTTAAAACAGCCTGAATTGTAGTTACAATGACGGTTGATTGGTATTGTTGATGGCAACGGCTAGAAAACGTACAGGTCTAGATAGTTACCACGAAGATGTGGCTAGAATAAAACTAACACAAACCACACAACCAAAACCCACAAGGCAGAGGTGGGTAAGATTTGGCAGAGTAAGGGTTTGGGTTTGTTGGTTATGGGTGGGAAATACGAATGAGGGACTTTCAGGATCAAAAAATATATTTGATCAAATTCGAATTGTATTAATTTTATTCGAGCTGATCTCTGCCCTAAAACTTGGGCGAATTTCAACTCTTCTTATACAAAAATTTCAGCGAAGACAAGAACTACAAAAGGAAAAAAAAAAAAACTCCCTATCCTATCACGCCATCGTTACTGATTCTTATGCAATTTCTATTCTACATCATCTCTTTTTGACATGGATGTAAACATCCAACTTACACTGCTACAAGATTTACCCTATTTACTTCTATATTTATCCGTCAATGCCACCGCCTCAGTTAACTATTTTGGGTGATGCTTGGTCATGGTCCTGCAAAAGGTGGTCATCCCATGGTTCTTCCCGTGCGCCACAGCCGAGAAGTCCGTGGTCTTGGGTCTATCTTGAGAACAATCTTATCACGATGTGGCCACGACTTCTTGACGATTGCGATTCGAATTCTTCATCTTGTGGCTATTCCAGGCTTATCTTTGTCTGGGGCTTTTGGGGCAAAACTAGTTCTTCACGATTTCTTTACGATTTCGTGGGCTCTGATTCGGGACTTTCGTTACATTTTCAGGTCTTGTGACGTCAAATTTGGTGCTGCAGATTTCGTCAGTTTTGCCACCAACAATTTTTCCCTTCCTATTTTTTCACGTCCCGGGAAAAATTCACACCCAATAACACAACAGGTCTTGTTTCATTTAAACCAGAAAAGAAAAGGACAACATACAACAAAACAAAAAAAAATTTATTTTAAACGCGCCCACGTTATACACGAAGGTTTCCCTTGTTATACTCCGTATACAACTGTTGCGTTCGACCTTTTTTTTTTTTTTTTGATTAACTATTCTTGGAACAATAAGTTCCCGGAGTCGTCGACAGGTTTTTCTGGTTCGTAGTATTTTTTTAACAAACCCAAGTTAAAGGGGCCAAAATCACCCTTCCTTCCATAGTCTTCAACTTATAAGTATCGTTGGGGAGTTTGTCATGGATGTAGTAAGGACCAAGGCACTTCAGGGCAAACTTATCACTTCGGGAGTACCTTTTCTTTGCGTCTTCCAAAAGGACCTTTTCCTCTATTTCGAACCCGAAACTAACCTGGTGCTTCTGATCATGATAGGCCTTTATAGCTTTTTGTTTTTCTGTCACTTTTTCTACAGCCCGATTCCGAATCATCGGCAGCTCATTTACTAACTCAAACATTCTTTGTAGAATTGTTCCATCTAATAGGTCTTTCGAACGGCTGGGGTGGATCGGCTGTCTGGCTTCACGACCATATACAAGGTAAAACGGCGACATGCGGGTGGTAGAGTTCTGGGCAGTTCGGTATGCAAAGAGAATTGATAAGATTATCAAATACCAATCGATGACATTTTTTACTAATTTTCCAATAGCTTCACATAATAACTTGTTGAACTGCTCAACAAGACCATTCGTGCGAGGATGGTACAGGGTGGAGAACTGGTGCTTGACTGTTAGCTTTTTCAGGAGTAACCTAACTACGTCGTTTTGGAAATGGGTCCCCCAGTCTGACTGGATCCGGTCAGAACACCCATAGTGGCAAATTATATCATCATACAGGAACTCCACGACGGTTTCTGCATTCACCTTCTCCACGGCACATGCTTTAGGCCAACGGGTCATGTAATCAGTTGCAACTAAAATGTACTAATTCAGTCGAGGTGTACGGGGGAGGAGGCCAACAAAATCCAACCCAATCTTATAGAATGGGGCTGAAACCAAGATGAGGTGCAATGGTCCTTGCGTGTGGGGTCAAGTTCGGCATTGGCAGGGATCACATGCCTGGACATACTGACGTATATCCGAGTACATCTGGGGCCAAAAGTACACATTACGCATCTTTTCAAACATTTTTATTACAGTTAAAGTGCCCCTGAGCAGATGGGTGTGCACCAGGAAGAGTATTGGGTCTACTTCGTGCTTACGAAGCACACAGAGCAAATTTCCTTTCTTACAGCGGTCTTTTTTGTATAAAAGACCCTCCTGTACTTCAAAAAATTCTGACTTCTTTATTAGCTTCTTCCTCTGTGTTTTGTCAAAGGTAGGTGGCAAGTATTTCGTATCGAGGTATTGGGCCAAGTGCCTATACTGGTCGGGTTCCATACTCTCTTTTTTTTTTTTTTTTTTTTTTTTTTTTACTTACTTAAAAATTTAAAAATCTTATAAAATTTATTTAAAAAATTTAAATAGTTAACAACAAAAAAAAAAGGAGTCTGCGAGAAATTTTTAAGGGAGATTTTTTTTTTTTTTTTTTTTTAAAAAAAAAAATATTTAAGAGTGTCAGAACACCGTAACCTGGACTGGGTTTAAATTCTGGATTTTTTTTTTTTTTTTTTTTTTAATTTAATCCGTGACCATCGGCTGCAGCCCAATATTCTTTTCAGGGGCTTCTATTTTGACATGCTCAGGAAACCTTGACAACGCATCTGCGTTGCTATGGTTCTTTCCACGACGGTGTATAATTTTGAAATTATACGGCTGCAAGCGAAGTATCCAACAGGCATGATGACCAGACAACACCGAAGTCTGCAACCAATTTAGAGCGGCATGGTCGGTTACGACTACGAAAGGCTTCAGGCCAAATTAATGGCAGAAATATTCGATAGCCCACAGAACCACCAAACATTCAAGAACAGTAGTACTATAATTCATTTCGGAAATTGTTAGAGCCTGACTTGCGTACACTACAATGTACTTTTTTTCCAGATCGTCTTTCTGGGCCAACATGGCACCCAGACCTATTCTAGACATATCGGCATGAACGATAAACGTTTTGTCAAAATTTGGGTAACAGAGCACCAGGGCCTCCATAAGTCGATGCTTTAGTTGGTTGAAGGCATCTTCCTGTTGATAGGTTTATTCATACCTGACATCCTTCTTCAACAGATGGTGCAGGGGCACGTAATTGAAGCGAAGTTTGGGACAAACTTCTGATAGTAGGAAGCCAGTCCTATAAACCCACGAAGTTGGCATAGGTTCTTTGGGGCGGGGAACTTCCGGACCGTTTCTACTTTTTCATTGTCGGAGCGAACTCCATCACAGCCAACGATATATCCCAGAAACTGCAAGTGGGGCTTAAAAAAGGCATATTTATCCAGATTCAACTTTAAGCCTACAGCCTTCAGTTTTTCGAAAATGGTGGCAATGTGGTTCAAGTGTTCGTCAAAGGAAGCAGAGTAAATAATGATGTCGTCGAGGTATACCACGGCAAAACGTTCAATATGCTCGGCAAGGACGTAGTTCATCATCTGTTGGAAGGTGGCGGGAGCATTACAGAGACCAAACAGCATCACGATGAACTCGTAAGTACCGAACGGGACTGCAAACGCATCTTTTCTCTGTCCTTTTTGCTTATTTGAACTTGCCAATACCCCGACAGCAGGTCCAACGTCGAAAACCAAGCAGCACACCCAAACACCTCTAGTAGGTCGTCGATATGAGGAGGGGGAATGCATCTTTCTTGGTTACTGCGTTAACCCGGCGATAGTCGATGCATATTCTCAGCTTACCATTCTTTTTGGGGACGACCACCATGGGGACGCCCACGGACTCTTTGAATCGCGAATCAACCCCTTTTCCTTTAATTGTGCCACTTCCTTTTTTATAAAGGCACATACACTAGGGCAGCACGATATGGCATCTGCTTTATAGAGGGGCAATACCGGTATTGATTTCATGTTCCACAACATTTGTTTTTCCAAGATTGGTCATACTACGAGCAAAGGTATCCCTCCTGGCCAGTAGCATCCACATGCACGGGCTTTTTCTTCTGGTTCTAAAGGGGCACTGTTTACACTTTCTTCTAGCTTTTCTTCCACTGGGGAGTTTAGCAGCAGGTTCCTTCAGAGGTTCTCCATCGGTGGAGATCAGGACTTCACTGGTTTTACCATTGTACGTTAGATACAACCTTTTTTCCACAAAATGTAACTGAGCCCGGGCTTTCACAAACCAATCCATTCCCAACAGCAACAAATCATCAGTAGATTCTATTATTTGAAATGTTGTGGGGATTAACATATCTCGAATAGCAATTTTAAGGTCATTAATCCTTCCTAGGGCTCGCTTCCGGGTTCTATTCGCTGTTACCACGATGGTGGAGGATGGTTCGTCGATTTTTAGCTTCAATTTTTCCATTATCATTTTCGACATCAAACTCATGGCGGCACCGGAGTCAAGTACGGCAACAATCGGCTTATTCTTTACTCGTATGTGTTGGGTGGCAGTGGTATGCTCATTATTCAGGGCTATACAACGTTCGTTTTCATGTCGAGGGGTTGAGCGGGTTCGACTATAGGTGGTCTCTTCAGTACTTGGGCCAAGTTACGATGCTGGTTTGGGTACTGCAAGAGCTGACTAATAGTGGCATTGGATCTTATTTCCAAAAGGTCTTGGGCCACGTTATATAGTTCTAATTACTCAATAATCGAAGGTCCTCTTCTACATCAGGTTTGTGGTGGAGGAGCTTCCGGGGCTTGGGGTGTGGCGGGTTTAGACGTCACGTTTACCGGGGGTATTACAGGAGCACTTACCAATGGCAGGTTGATTTTTAACCTTTCTTTCGTCTGACTTTTCAACTTCTTTATATTTCGTTAGGGTCATTGTGTCGTATATAGTTGGTGATGGGAGAGAGGCAACAAGAACGCATCTTCCCCTTCCTGTTGATAACCAGTATCGTCAAGATCACACAGGTTCACATTCCGGGTCTGGTGCAGTATCTGCACTGGCGGGTTATTCAGGTCAGTCTTTGGTTGCTAGACTGGGGCTGGGGAGAGATTCTGGGGTGGGTTCCTTGAGGCATTATTTCGTCCGGGGGTTTTTTCTGACATGCAATCTCGTGAAATATGTCCGGGTTCTCTGCAGTTATAACAGACTATTCGGGCAGCGTTATTGTTATTTTGTGCTCCACGATTGTTGTTATAATGGGGTCTTGCTTTGTTTGCTTCAATCCTCGCCACCAAGGTCGAAAAGAGCTTTTCGTAATTCGTTGACATGGTTTGCACCTGGAGGATCAGGTGGTTCAAATTATCATCGTACTGGGTGTTCCGATTTCAGGCTACGTTTCTTTCACTATAGTACCCTCCTGCTTCAATTTTACAGGCACCAATTATGGCTTCTTCGAGGTTTCAGGGGTTAGCCACGCTTAACCAGGAGGCTATTTTTGGCTTCAAACCCCCCAAAAACATGCGCACGATGTACGGTTGGGGAAGGCGGTTTTCAGGGTCTACCCGACGCAATATCCTCTTAAAGTTATAAACGTAGGTGTCAACTCGCTCAGCATCTCGTTGGGTTAGAGAATTCAAATCCGCCTGCCATTAGTGGTGTCTTTCCGGGGTAGTAAAATATTGTAGGAAGTAGAGGACGAAGCTCCCATCTCGATCATTGAGATCATCCCAGAACCTTAAGGCCCTTCTCATGCCATCATACCAACTTGCGGCAACACTACGCAGATAACCTGAGGCTATCTTTACTTTTCGTTCAGGGGACCGATTGTTGGCATTGGAGGCCCGTTCGAATGCTTCTACCTACTCTAGGGGGTCCTCATCCTCTTCCCCATGGAAGGGTTCGACCCTTACTAAATTTTTCTCTCAATGCAGAAGGCGGGCGGCATCATCGACACCAGCGAAGGCGTCCCTAAACGCATTTGCGATTTCTCGCAATATTGCATGCAACAGTTCCGGGGCGGGGGGTTATTTCGGCCATTAATATTTTAGTATAATAGCAGGTTATCTACAGGGGTGAGACTACGAATGCTGTTGAGAGAATTATGTCCTGGGTGTTCCACGTCTGGGGGGCAGCTTTGATAATCCAATTTTTAGTGTTGTTAGGGAAAACGTTTATTTCCGCTCTTTGTGGTTCTATGATTATCGTTTATTTTTTTATTTTTTATTTTTTTTTTTTGCTTAGTTGGAGAAAAAAAAACTTCTAACACTTTTGGCGGAGTCGAGATAGTTATGTCGAATCTCACAGTCACCACCAAATTGTTGATGGCAATGGCTAGAAAACGTACAGGTCTAGATAGTCACCACGAAGATGCGGCCAGAATAAAACTAACAAAAACCACACAACCAAAACCCACAAGGCAGAGGCGGGTAAGATTTGGCAGAGTAAGAGTTTGGGTTTGTTGGTTATGGGTGGGAAATACGAATGAGGGACTTTCAGGATCAAAGAATATATTTGATCAAATTCGAATTTTATTAATTTTATTCGAGCCGATCTCTGCCCTAAAACTTGGGCGAATTTCAACTCTTCTTATACAAAAATTTCAGTGAAGACAAGAACTACAAAAGGAAAAAAAAAAAAACTCCCTATCCTATCACGCTATCGTTACTGATTCTTACGCGATTTCTATTTTACATCATCTCTTTTTGATATAGATGTAAACATCTGACTTACACTGCTACACGATTTACCCCATTTACTTCTATATTTATCTGTCAATGCCACCGCCTCAGTTAACTATTTTGGGCGATGCTTGGTCATGGTTCTGCACCAGGTGATCATCCCATGGTTCTTCCTGTGCGCCACAGCTAAGAAGTCTGTGGTCTTGGGTCCATCTTGAGAACAATCTTATCATGATGTGGCCACAACTTCTTGACGATTGTGATTCGAATTCTTCATCTTGTGGCTGTTCCAGGCTTATCTTTGTCTGGGGCTTTTGGGGCAAAACTGGTTCTTCACGATTTCTTTACGATTTTGTGGGCTCTGATTTGGGACTTTTATCACGTTTTCGGGTATCGTGATGTCGAATTTGGTGCTACAAAATTCGTTGGTTTTGCTACCAACAGTATGTTCCTTCATTTATGGATCTTGCGAGATTAGAATTGAACACCGGATTATTCCAAACATCTTTCAAAACGTTTAAAATTTCTTTAACGACACATGTGATATCTTTATCAGATTTCTTCCAAGTTTTATCATGTGTCTATTTTGGCTTTGATCTTTCGTCACGTCTTTTAAAATCTTCTATGAATTTCATACATATCTCTTGAAGTATTGACCTGGGATTTGGTACCATATTATGAGCAATTTTCTAATACAAAATATGCATGTAAATTATTAGTGATAAAAATACGTATACTTATATTAAATTCTTTACCATAAATCCCTTTTTTAAGTTCCTAAAGAGATTCTTCACGAGATCTGAATTGTCGCTGATAACCTGGCTTGCCATAGGGTCTTCCCAGGATAATTCTTCGACACATATCTTATTCACGCCGGAGTATAAATGTTGATAGAGGGGGCTTGTATCTCTGTAAAGTTTTCTTTTCAGCTTTTCTATATTATTCCTAATCTGATCTCGGTTAAGGGGTTTCTCCTTATTTGTTTTAACAACTCCAAGATCCCGTAAACTACAGACTCCCTCAAAAGCAATCTCAAACTAAAATAAAAATACAATGTATTAGTTTCAGTTATATCAAAAAACACATCATTAAAAAATACATTATTTATCAGTGCATATGCAAAGTTTTATTTTTGTGTGGCCACCACGTTGAATAGAACTTTGTGTGGTATTATATTAAAAAAAACTATATTTTAGTTAGAGATCCGCTCTAAATGGTATAATACTCTGCAGGCGATAAATTTTTCTCGTCAATAGGTTTCTAGAATGAACTACACTACTGCATAACAGTCTATAGCTTAAACATCTTTCCATTAAGAGTAAGTGTTTACCATGAGCAATTAATGAATAATTATGCCAGTTTCAGCACTCATCCTTAGGAGTGAACCACACAATATCATCATTTTATAAATTTTCACCACATAGAATAATTATCTTATCAATAATGAACCTGTGGGAGTATCCAGAAAAGTTTTAACTGGCGTGAAGAACCCTACATATATATATTACTGGCAAACCCTACAGCTTGGTCTATGATTGATCGTAATTCATTTTTTGAAATCCAAGGCTTGTCTTCTATCCCTTGGTAAATAACTAAAGTAGCTATTATGTCAGTGTTGTCACTGGAAGACTGGAATCCCACTGAATGTTCAGATTTTTTCAATGTTTCAGTGGTTCTAGTGAGAAATCCCACTGGAACAATTTTTTCACTGGAATGTATTCACCTGATTAGCTAATCTAAATGTGATTATTGGCCAATCAAATTAGTTAGTTGGCAACTGAGCTTCCAAAGCAATTCAATGCAATAT